CTGTAAAGGGAGCGCCTGTCTCATTTCATTTTACATCTCTACTCCTCCTTTTATCTTAGAGGAATAAAGCTTGGGCAATACTCGAGTGCCACGAGTTAATCTGTTCTAGGCATAAGATTGGAGGTCTGTGTTGCTAGTATATCTTCCAGCTATATCGGTTAGGACTTGTTTATCTTGGTCCACTTATGTTTTTGTATTGAAGTTAAATTTGGTGAATGCTCTCTCTGACTAGTGTAGTGTAGTATAGTTTTAGTGTAGTGTAGTGTAGTATAGTGTAGTGTAGTATAATTTATGTGTGTAGTGTAGTCTATTTTAGTTAGGGTAAAGTAGAATAGTTTAGTGTATGTGTGTAGTATAGTTTAGTGTAGTGTAGTATAGTTTAGTGTAGTGGTAGTATAGTTTAGTGTAGTGTAGTTTATGTTAGTGAGTGTAGTGAGTATGTGCAGTGATGTAGTATAGTTTAGTGTAGTGTAGTATAGTTTAGTGTAGTGTAGTGTAGTAAGTTTAGTGTAGTGTAGTGTAGTATAGTTTAGCATAGTGTAGTGTAGATGTTTAGCATAGTGTAGTGTAGTATAGTTTAGTGTAGTGTAGTGTAGATAAGTTTAGTGTAGTGTAGTGTAGTTAGTTTAGTGTAGTGTAGTGTAGTATAGTTTAGTGTAGTGTAGTGTAGTGTAGAATAGTTTTAGTGTAGTGTAGTATAGTTTAGTGTAGTGAGTGTAGTATAGTTAGTTAGTGTAGTGTAGTTAGTATTAGTATTGTAGTGAAGTGTAGTGTAGTGTAGTATAGTTTAGTGTTAGTGGTAGTATAGTTTAGTGTAGGTAGTGTAGTATAGTTTAGTGTAGTGTAGTGTAGTATAGTTTAGTGTAGTGTAAGTGTAGTATAGTTAGTGTAGTTAGTGTAGTATAGTTTTTTATGTAGTGTAGTATAGTTTAGTGTAGTGTAGTTTATGTAGTGTAGTGTAGTGTAGTATAGTTTAGTGTAGTGTAGTTGTAGTATAGTTTAGTGTAGTGTATGTAGTATAGTTTAGTGTAGTGTAGTATAGTTTTAGTGTAGTGTAGTGTAGTGTAGTTTAGTGTAGTGTAGTATAGTTTAGTGTAGTGGAGTGTAGTATAGTTTAGTGTAGTGGAGTGTAGTATAGTTTAGTGTAGTGTAGTGTAGTATAGTTTTAGTGTAGTGTAGTGTAGTTAGTAGTTAGTGTAGTGTAGTATAGTTTAGTGTAGTGTAGTAATAGTTTAGTGTAGTGTAGTATAGTTTTGAGTGTAGTGTAGTATAGTTTAGTGTAGTGTAGTGTAGTATAGTTTAGTGTAGTGTAGTATAGTTTAGTGTAGTGTAGTGTAGTATAGTTTAGTGTAGTGTAGTATAGTTTAGTGTAGTGTAGTGTAGTATAGTTAGTGTAGTGTAGTATAGTTTAGTGTAGTGTAGTATAGTTTAGTGTAGTGTAGTGTAGTATAGTTTTAGTGTAGTGTATGTAGTATAGTGTAGTGTGTAGCATGTTAGTGTAGTGTAGTATAGTTTAGGTAGTGTAGTGTAGTATAGTTTTAGTGTAGTGTAGTATAGTTTAGTAGTGTAGTGTAGTATAGTTTAGTGTAGTGTAGTGTAGTATAGTTTAGTGGTAGTGTAGTATGTTAGTGTAGTAGTATAGTTTAGTGTAGTGTAGTGTAGTTTGTGTAGTTGTTAGTGTAGGTGTAGTGTAGTATAGTTTAGTGTAGTGTAGTGTAGTAGTAGTTATAGTTGTAGTGTAGTGTAGTATAGTTTTAGTGTAGTGTAGTGTAGTATAGTTTAGTGTAGTGTAGTTATTGGTTAGGTAGTGTAGTATAGTTAGTGTAGTGTAGTATAGTTTAGTGTAGTGTAGTTTTAGTGTAGTGTAGTGTAGTGTAGTGTAGTTTTAGTAGTGTAGTGTAGATAGTTAGTGTTAGTATAGTTTAGTGTAGTGTAGTGTAGTATAGTTTAGTGTAGTGTAGTGTAGTAATAGTTTTAGATGTAGTGTAGTGTAGTGTAGTAGTTAGTGTAGTGTAGTATAGTTTTAGTGTAGTGTAGTGTAGTGTAGTGTAGTATAGTTTAGTGTAGTGTAGTGTAGTATAGTTTAGTGTAGTGTAGTGTAGTATAGTTTAGTGTAGTGAGTAGTATAGTTTAGTGTAGTGTAGTTTTAGTGTAGATAGTAGTATAGTTTAGTGTAGTGTAGTATAGTTTTAGTGTAGTGTTAGTTTTATGTGTGTAGTTATGTAGTGTAGGTAGTATAGTTTAGTGTAGTGTAGTATAGTTTTAGTGTAGTGTATTGTAGTATAGTTTAGTGTAGTGTAGTATAGTTTTAGTGTAGTTAGTGTAGTGTAGTGTAGTAGTGTAGTATAGTGTAGTGTAGTATAGTTTAGTGTAGTGTAGTGTAGTATAGTTTAAGTGTAGTGTAGTGTAGTATAGTTTAGTGTAGTGTAGTATAGTTTAAGTGTAGTGTAGTGTAGTATAGTTTAGTGTAGTGTAGTGTAGAATAGTTTAGTGTAGTGTAGTGTAGTAATAGTTTAGTGTAGTGTATTGTAGTATAGTTTAAGTGTAGTGTAGTGTAGTATAGTGTAGTGTAGTGCAGTATAGTTTAGTGTAGTGTAGTGTAGTATAGTTTAAGTGTAGTGTATGTAGTATAGTTTAGTGTAGTGTAGTGTAGTGTAGTATAGTTTAGTGTAGTGTAATGTTGTATAGTTTAGTGTAGTGTAGTATAGTTATTAGTGTAGTGTAATGTAGTATAGTTTAGTGTAGTGTAGTGTAGTATAGTTTAGTGTAGTGTAGTGTAGTATAGTGTAGTGTAGTGTAGTATATGTAGTGTAGTAGTGTAGTGTAGTGTAGTGTAGTATAGTTTAAGTGCAGTAGTTAGTGTATAAAGTTTAGTGTAGTGTAGTGTAGTAATAGTTTAGTGTAGTGTAGTGAAGTATAGTTTAGTGTAGTGTAGTGTAGTATAGTGCAGTGTAGTGTAGTATAGTTTAGTGTAGTGTAGTGTAGTATAGTTTAGTGTAGTGTAGTGTAGTATAGTTTAGTATAGTGTAGTGTAGTGTAGTAATAGTTTTTAGTGTATGTAGTGTAGTATAGTTTAGTGTAGTGTAGTATAGTTTAGTGTAGTGTAGTATAGTTTAGTGTAGTGTAGTGTAGTATAGTTTAGTGTAGTGTAGTGAAGTATAGTTTAGTGTAGTATAGTTTAGTGTAGTATAGTTTAGTGTAGTGTAGTATAGTTTAGTGTAGTGTAGTATAGTTTAGTGTAGTGTAGTATAGTTTAGTGTACAGATCACTCTTTGATGTTCCTCGTGTCCATCTCACGCTATGCAAAAACTCAATGCACATAAAAGGCCCTAAAATCTGGAATTCATTACCTGTAAATATAAAAGAAACACTACCTGTTTATAAATTCAAGTCTCTTCTCAAAGATCACTTACTCACTCAAAACCAAATAAATACTGAATAACTGAACCTTATAAATTGTATATCCTATATGTTACTCACAATTATATCACACAAATGTTAAACCTAGGACCCAATCTAACTTTATTATTTTTTTAAATACACTACCTAACAGAATACTCCATTCGACTGAATGTACAGCAATGCAAGCAACCATATGACCTGTCTTTGTAATACTCATTTGTGCTTTATAGTTATCTGTTTACAATAATGTTTTATCACTGATTTCATCATTGCTTAGTTAATCTTAAGTAAATTTTAAGCCAGCCCGTAATGTTATGCATATAAGTGGCTTTGGCATGCTGCTCTTACCTGCTCTTAATGTAGTGTAGTGTAGTGTAGTATAGTTTAGTGTAGTGTAGTATAGTTTAGTTTAGTGTAGTGTAGTGTAGTATAGTTTAGTGTAGTGTAGCGTAGTATAGTTTAGTGTAGTGTAGTATAGTTTAGTGTAGTATAGTTTAGTGTAGTGTAGTGTAGTATAGTTTAGTGTAGTATAGTTTAGTGTAGTGTAGTGTAGTATAGTTTAGTGTAGTATAGTGTAGTGTAGTATAGTATAGTTTAGTGTAGTATAGTATAGTTTAGTGTAGTGTAGTGTAGTATAGTTTAGTGTTGTGTAGTATAGTTTAGTATAGTATAGTTTAGTGTAGTGTAGTATAGTTTAGTGTAGTGTAGTATAGTTTAGTGTAGTATAGTATAGTTTAGTGTAGTGTAGTATAGTTTAGTGTAGTATAATATAGTTTAGTGTAGTGTAGTATAGTTTAGTGTAGTGTAGTATAGTTTAGTGTAGTGTAGTATAGTTTAGTATAGTATAGTTTTAATGTAGTGTAGTATAGTTTAGTGTAGTATAATATAGTTTAGTGTAGTGTAGTGTAGTATAGTTTAGTGTAGTGTAGTGTAGTATAGTTTAGTGTAGTGTAGTATAGTTTAGTGTAGTGTAGTATAGTTTTAGTGTAGTATAGTTTAGTGTAGTGTAGTATAGTTTAGTGTAGTGTAGTATAGTTTAGTGTAGTATAGTTTAGTGTAGTGTAGTATAGTTTAGTGTAGTGTAGTATAGTTTAGTGTAGTGTAGTATAGTTTAGTGTAGTGTAGTATAGTTTAGTGTAGTGTAGTATAGTTTAGTGTAGTGTAGTATAGTTTAGTGTAGTGTAGTATAGTTTAGTGTAGTGTAGTATAGTTTAGTGTAGTGTATAGTGTAGTGTAGAAATATTCACATATATATATATTAGATACAGAGTATGGTGGGCGGCGCATGGCTCTGCTCACCTCCTCGTCCTCAAGTCTTCAAGGCCCTAAACGGTATGCTGGATTCTTAATTTTAACACCAACATGTCCCTTACAGAGACCATGAACCTTTTAAAGATACAAGATGTGGTACGTAGCATGCAGTACAGCTTCGCACGGAGCACTAGGGTTATACTGTAAGTAGGTTTAGGGGTTAATAGGCGTGTAAAATAAGGTTTGAAGTGGTAGGTGGAGGTGGGGGTGGGTCGGGCCGCCGCCGCCGCCGTCACTCCTGCGCATCATGGCTGAACAAATGGAAGTAAGTTGCCGCATGCATTTCCTCCTCTTACTTACACTCCTCGTGGTGTTCTGTGCTCTCCCCTGCCTCACTCTACCTCAGCCTGGCCTCCCCACACGCCCAGCTCGGCCTCCAGGGAGCTACATACACGCTGATTGACTGGGTTATTTAAATGTGTTAGAGGTTGGCGCCACGTGAATCTCCTCATCGACCCACAACAAAGACACCACACTTAGTCTTGTGTAAGTTTATGTCACTTTACACCACATTTACTGCATCTCCAGCCATCTCCACCACTGCTGCACCTCCAACACTCCCTCCACCACCACCACAGTAACTTACCTACTTATCAAGACCTTTTATCTTTGTATTATTCTCCCTCGAATCATTTGGCCGATTTTTTTTATTTTTTTAAAATGTTATAAACCGTATGCACTCATTATTTAGTTTATTTTTATTAAGATTCTTTGCCTTTAGGTCATGTGTGATCAAAATTTGGGACAGATACAGTAAATAGGTATTGGATAAGTAATTTATTTTTTATATATGATCGTGGTCACTTTTTATGCTCTTACGGCCATTGTAATTAAAATAATTTATAATAAATAATCCCCGGTAACTTAACATCGTGTAGAAAGTCTTACTAGGCTGCTAAGATCATTCTACTTTATTAAAGGAGAAAGTCTGAGACTACCCCAGGCTACACTCTAGGTATTAACACAGTAAATGACATTATTATAATTATGTATGTAATGGCTTATATTCATTTATTTAGTGGAATTGGCATCTTGCATTAATTATTAAGGATTACTTTTGAGACTCGTTTAGAGAGCACACTTATAGAGTTGGCAAAATAAAGCTGCGAGTTCAAATACATGATTTAGGCTTATTTAAATTTAGGTTATGTTATTTTAGTGCTTACTGATATATTCACAAAATTCATGTGTGATAGAATCTTCACCTGTGAGAAATGGTCTGGTGATACCAACTAGGTGTGGAAAAAGACATTTGTGTACATTTCAGGGCATTTATTAAAGGAAATTTATTGTCACAAGAGGCTTCTTCAGTCCTAAAGAAGCCACTTGTAGCTAAACATTGGGAGACGTTTCGCTACGAGTGGCTTCTTTTTCCATATCTGTATTAATATATCAGACATACTGAGCAGCAAGCTCTAACCTAATATGACCTAACCTAATTTAACCTGTATTCTGTTCTTGTATAACTTGTGATTATCGTATTTTGCGGCATATAACACATTTCATAAAAAAAATAAAACATTTTTATTTTTGGACATTGTGGATAAGTTTCAGATTAGGGTCTGGACAGTGAAAGGATTAAATCCACCTTTTAACCCTTTCACTGTCCAGACCTCTGAAATTAATATGGCTTTCAGTGTCTGCTTTAAAACAAAATGATTTCTTTTGAAATGGTAGATAATCTTTTTCTGAAGGTAATGATAAAAGTACGAAATATGATGGGAAACTTATGGAGTGATGCCATCGCAAAGTTAGCAGTTGGGAGTAATTTCTGCATCAGTGATTTTGCCCATTTGGAGTCCTATTTTAAGCCAATTACATTGATCCATTTAACCAAATTCTTAACTATTTTGCTGGTATACTTTGCATCCTGCTGATTGAGCACAAGAAGCTGCTCATTCATTTATTACAGGTACCCTATAAAGTGCACAGAAGTTGGTAAATTTGGCCAGTTTTTGAAGGTTTACTGTATTTTCCAGATAAACAGACCTGGGGGAGGGAGGGTTGTTAGGGCACCTTATGTCATCAGGGAAATTTCCAAAAAAATCTAATATTTCTGTTACATTGAGCACAATGTCAGAGGATGCCAAGAAACAGCCAATGAAACCATAAAAAACCATCCTAGAAAACCTCAGTCATTTCTAAACCAGTCAAAGTTTTGCTTTTTCCATCATGCATCATGTGGGGGCAGGATTTTTTATACTGTGCACTTGCCATGCACCCATTCTCTCGTATTTACGCCAAAATTTACAGCTCACAATTTATCCGAATGAACTGGGCTTATGACGTAGAACTACGCGAGGGACTCTGGCTTCATTGATGTTATTCTACATGATGGCCACTGCAAGGGTTAAGAGGTACATTGATTCTAGTGAAAGGCTCTTGAACCAAGAAGTTGAAACTACCTTCCCTCTTTAAATCTGATTACGTACCCTCAATTCGTCAGGTTCTGTATGACCCTCCTATGGTTTTAGTATTTTCCCATAATTATAATAGCATCCAATGTTCAGCAAATAAAACATGTGCAATTATGATAGTGTACAAATACTAATACGTGCATACATTCAGTATCCTTTCAGTTTGGGTGAATTTCATATGCTGTACAAGTATCCCTCCTTTTAACATAAGTTTGGTTAGTTCAAGTTTGGCAGTGTTAGATAAAATTTAGTTTGGATTTATAACCCAGAGGGTTAGCCACCCAGGATAACCAATAGTTGAATTCTCATCAGGGACTGTCTTGTCTTATTTCCATTGAGGTCCTATAATCCTTTTCCACAGGCTGTGACCCACAACAGTCAACTAACACCCAGGTACCTACCTGCTTATAGATAAGTGAATGAGCAGCAGGTCTAAGGAAACATGCTTGATGTTTCCATCCTTGCCTGATGTTTCCACCCTTGCTGGGGATCGAACCATGGACACTCGGTATGTGAGCTGAGTGTGCTATCTGAGCCAAAATAAGATTTGTTCAGATTTTTAACCTGGGGGGGGGGGGGGTTAGCTACCCAGGGTAACCCAGTGAAATCAGCATATCATCAGGAACTGTCTGTCTGATTTCCATTGGGGTCCTTTAATCACTTTCTCTCAGGATGTGACCCACACCAGTCAATTAATACCCAGCATGGGTGATGAATGTTGCAGCGAGGAGAAGGCTGGAGGCAGTGGAGATGTCATGTCTGAGGGCAATGTGTGGTGTGAATATAATGCAGAGAATTCGTAGTTTGGAAGTTAGGAGGAGGTGCGGGATTACCAAAACTGTTGTCCAGAGGGCTGAGGAGGGGTTGTTGAGGTGGTTCGGACATGTGGAGAGAATGGAGCGAAACAGAATAACTTCAAGAGTGTATCAGTCTGTAGTGGAAGGAAGGCGGGGTAGGGGTCGGCCTAGGAAAGGTTGGAGGGAGGAGGTAAAGGAGGTTTTGTGTGCGAGGGGCTTGGACTTCCAGCAGGCATGCGTGAGCGTGTTTGATAGGAGTGAATGGAGACAAATGGTTTTTAATACATGATGTGCTGTTGGAGTGTGAGCAAAGTAACATTTATGAAGGGGTTCAGGGAAACCGGCAGGCCGGACTTGAGTCCTGGAGATGGGAAGTACAGTGCCTGCACTCTGAAGGAGGGGTGTTAATGTTGCAGTTTAAAAACTGTAGTGTAAAGCACCCTTCTGGCAAGACAGTGATGGAGTGAATGATGGTGAAAGTTTTTCTTTTTCGGGCCACCCTGCCTTGGTGGGAATCGGCCAGTGTGATAATAAAATAAATAATTGCCTACTTACTGCTAGGTGAACAGAGGGTGGGCAAGCATGACATATGTTTCGACCTATGTCAGGGATTGAATTTTGGACAGCGTGTGAGGCGAGTACATTGCCATCAGTGTGTTATTACTACTACTATCTGGTATGCCTGAAATATCCTTTGCTTATGTTGCGAATCGACGGAATTGGTGATTTTACAACGCCAGACACTTGTGTTGTCTTCATGATGCATGCACCACCTTTCAGCATCTCAATTGCCTCCCAGTTTTCCACACTAGGCATAGTTTCATGCTTAATCTTCTTCCTTGCTGCACAAGCATCACCTGCATCTTGCTTGGAAGACATGATAAATAGCTAGAGATGAGATGACGCAGTGAAAGGAAGGAAAAATGGAGCAATATGCACACAGCTAAAAATCATATGGTACATGTCTGCCACTTGTACAGCCTCTTGCAATTACTGGACCACTGTGATGTAATCTTGGATACACTGGAAGATAAACAGTATGCAGATGTACATGTATATGCAAACTTTGCAAAAGTCTGACAAGAGTGACCATGGTGCAATAGTGCAAAAAATGTATGCTAGAGGAATAACTGGAAAGGTGGGCAAATGGATCTTTAACTTTTTAACCAATAGAACACAAGAAGTAACGGTAGAGAGAGTTAAGTCCGAGGCTGCCACAGTGAAAAACTTGTTCCTCAAGGTATAGTACTCACCCCCATCCTTTTCCTCATCTTCACATTGCATGTAGACAGATACATAAACCATAGTACCTTGTCTTTTGCAGACAATGCTAGAATCTGCATGAATGTCATTGAGGACATGGTAAATCTCCAAACGGATATAAACGAGCTTTTCAAATGGGCTTTGAAAAGCAATGTGATGTTCAATGATGATGAATTTCAGTTACTCTGTTATGGAAAACTTGAGGAAATAATTAGAACTGAGTACAATCTCTCCTGTTTACCAACACCTCGGACTTACGACGGGCTCTCTGACCAATATTTTTACCTAAATAATTTATATTAGAGCTTATTTCCTCTATTCTGTTTATTTCAATATACAGTACACTACTGTATAAACATTTAAAAATATACCAGAAATGTTATAAGTGGTGCAAAGGTGACAGTAAAACAATATTAAAGATGGTTGACACACACCCACTACCATTATAGTATGCTCCTCACTTAGCGACAAATTCGTTTAACGATGTGGTCGTTAAGTGGAGAGGCTGTACACCAATCCCACGAGATACGAGATTAAAGTGTCCTGCAAGATGGCTTGCAGCTTGAAAACTTGTTTAGCAGAAAAGTGATGGCAGCATACAGTAGCATACAGTTTTTCTACCCTTATCAACCAAATGTCAATATTTTTTGTTACAAATCATTTGGAAGGAAGAACACAAATACGATACAAATGCCAAGTTAATAAATAAATAAAAAATTTTAACACTTAGACTCTTAAGTGATTGTTCAGTTGACAAAACAAGGTGCTTTTATGTTGATGTTAGGTACTAAGGAAGGATGCTTGTATTGGCGAAATCTCGTATCTCGGGGGGGGGGATCGCTGTATATGACAAATTCTAACCACACAGTAGAACTAAAAACTAATGTGATGGATCTGGGAGGATTGGAGGGGTGAAAGGTCTTGTCTTTAAGGGTCACAATGGTGCTATTATCACATCTGTGAGGAAAATGATAGGATGGATAATGAGAACTTTTAAAACAAGGGATGCCAAGCCAGTGATGATCCTCTTTAACACTTTAAATGTGGGATACCCTGGGAAAAAAAATCTTGTCTGGGAAGGTTTTGAAAAATAAAAATATATTTTTTCTTAGTTTCATAATTCATTTTTCTGAATCATAAGACTAAACTGAGTGAAGTCTGATAAGAACTTAAAATTTTATGGTGTGTTGAATTTGGTGGAGAAAATTATCACTTATGGACAACAGTGGTGTAAAAGTGCCTCGCAGAGTGTCTGTGGTTCAGTCCCCGGTCAGGTGGAAACCTTGGGGGTGTTTCTGTACACCTGCTGTCCCCGTTCACCTAGCAAGCAAGTAGGTACCTGGGTGTTAGTCAACTGGTGTGGGGTTGCATCCTAGGGGACATGATCAAAGGACCCTAGTGGAAATAAACAGTCCATGATATGCTGACTTTCTTGGGTTATTCTGGGTGGCTGACCCTCCAGGGTTAAAAATCCAAACAAAATCTTATCTTACATTTTTAAATTTATTGGTATAAAGAAAAGATTGTTTTTGTTTTTAATTGCTTTTAACCCTTAAACTGTCCAAACATAGATCTACGTTCGCACGTGTAGCGCTCCAAATGTAGATCTACGTTCAGTTTCACATTCTTATGTAAAAAAAAAAGCATACATCTACGTTCGGAGCTCTACGCGTGCCAACGTAGATCTACGTTTGGACAGTTTAAGGATTAATGTTTAACACTTGTTTCTTATAATGATATATGTGTTTAAAGGTGTAGCTCGATTGCTAGCACACTCGGCTCACATACTGGGGTCCGGACATTGAATCCCCAGTATGGCTGGAAAACCTTTGGATGTGTTTCCTCAAGATACCTGTTCATGTTCACCCATCAGTGTAAAATGGGTAACTGGGTGTTAGTTGACTGGTGTGGGTCGCATCCTGGGACAAAACTGACCTAATTTGCCTGAAATGCTCTGCATAACAAGTGACTTTCTATATAGTAATGTCATTGATGTCAGCTTGGCCTGCGTGCCTTGTACATGTAGAAATAAAGATGCATATGTATGTGTATTACTTTTGCTAGTTAGGCTTACTAGTATACTTTGGATAGTCACCACCTGAGTAGTTAACCAAGATACATTGTGTGGACCCTCCTTGCCTTAGATTTTTTCAGTTGTATGAACAGATGAAAGGAGACCCAAAAAATTGTGCTGCGGTGAAAAATATGGGCATGTTGCAGATTTGTGGATACAAAAAATTGTGCATACGTACTAGCACGTTAGACACAGACAACATTGTGTACTAGTATGTTGGATGCAGTTAAAAGGTTGTCACTTGTTCTCTCTAGGCTGGAATACTATTATAACTAACAGCTCCAGGTGGGAGCAAAATACTGTACCAGTTTAAGAGCATGATTCATTACAGACTGAAGTCTTTAGCCAGTAATTAGGCAAACCCACAAACAAATAATTGCAAAAAATCAGTTAGTGAGGAAACAAACATGTGGATAAGGACCAAGAAACTCTTTGTATCAAGATACTTAGTGACTGCATAGAGATTACAAATATGAAAATTCTAAGATTTTAACAATAGATAACTGAAAAATCCAGGTACACACTTAAATTTTTAACTGATTGCACAGACTGCAAACTGACAGTACCACAGTCAGTGGGACCAAAGTTTACAGTCCAGTCCTCTTAACCTCATTTAGTCTCAAATTTCTATTTGTCATTCAAGTCTAAACATTAAACATAAGAGAACTAAAACAATTTTGCATATTCCACGTTCAATGCCTGGCTGTTAACCTGTGTATTGTCAGCATAGAAATGATAATCAACCCCATGGGAAACCAACAGTAAGGCTCAGCCATTAACATACACTAAACAGAGCTGGTCCAAGAAGAGCCCTGTGGGCAGAAAAAAGGCACTATTTCAGAAATGACAGAGCAGTATCACTAGGATCACAACTGTAGAGGTTGCTTATCTGTAATCCATGATCACTGGTAACAAATGGAGCAGACCAACAAAATTAGGAGCAATGCATTTCCTAAAGTGTTCAGTACATGTTCATTGTAAACCTTGCATAAAGCAGTGTCCTTTGAATGAAATGGTTTACATGCATACTGAACATATGGTAAAATAGTAACCCTTTCAGGGTCCGTGCCGTAGATCTACGGCTTTACGTTCAGGGTCCAAACCGTAGATCTACGCCATGAGCTCAGCTCAGCTCTGATAAGCTGTGAGTGGTAAACTTGGGCCTAGATATGAGAGAATACATCTATGTGGTATGTATGCACCACATAAAACAAATCCTGCAGCACACAGTGTATAATGAGATAAAAACTGAGACCATGATTTTCGGTTAAAACAGTGACTTTGCAGAGTTTTTCGTATGTTTTTTATAGTTGTATTTGCGATTTCTTGGTCTCGTTTGATAGAATGGAAGACATATTACAGAAATAGAGATGATTTTGATTGGTTTTAACTCTGGAAATGGCTTGAAACTGAACTCAAAGTAGCGGAAATGTTAAATTTTTGCCGATGTTCAAGAGTAAACAAACGACCTCATATGTCTAATACACACCAGCTGGTGGGTCTAATATACATTCGCAAATGTAGTGATGATATTTATACAATTATATATTACAATATTGCATAACAGTAAATCTTCTATTTTTTGGTTTGAATAAAAATTTGTGAATAAAAAATCAAAATGGAATTCATTTGTAAAGCCTCAAAACACAACTAATGAACAGAGGAAATGTTAGTTTAGTGCCAGGAATACCTACATTATTTATTCTGGACCCTATTTTGAAATTGGAATATTTTGAACTTTGTGTTAAATTGGCCAAATTACCAATTTCCAATCACTTTATTTTGTAGTTGAAACAGTTGAATTGACGATTTCTTGTGCTCAGTCGATAGAATAGAAGTAATACTAGTGAAATAGCTAAGAATTTGGTTGACTGGAATAATGTAATTGGTCTAAAATGGGAGTCAAAGTCGGCAGAATTGCCGATTCGTAAATATCGCTGACACATCAATATTCGCGAGACCATAATTTCGTCAATTTTCCATCAAATTTCGTACTTTTTGTTTTATTACCTTCAGAAAAAGATTCTCTGCCATTTCATAAGTTTTTTTTTTTTAAATTCTTGGACTCTGGTGTGCACTTTGAAATTTGGCCTCTGGACCCTGAAAGTGTTAATTTCACTGTAAACCCAGCTCATAAAACAAAAATTGATATATGTTTCTCTTATGTTATCTGATTTTCATTAAAAATCAGCAGAAGTCTGATGTTATTTTCCACATTAATAAACAAATTAAACAGCTGATAATTCTCAAGTTATTCAGTTTATTTTTAATGCCCTATTTCAGACATGGAATGTTGCACTGACAAATGCAAAAAAAAAAAAAAAAAAAAAAAATAAAAATTATAATAGATAACTTGCTAATGCATTAAAACACTTTCAGACCTTTTAATGACAAACAGATACACGGAGGTACTAGTTTATGATGATTGTCAGATTACACGTTTTGCTAGATCAAATGACTCGGGTAATGTTTGGATGTTGAATAATTAATCTCTGTATTTTAACAAGAAATTGGCCAAAAATGTAGTTTTAATGGGAGATTTTAATTCCAGCCAAATTCACTGGAACAATTTAACAGGAAATCTGTGAAGCGGCCATCTAACCATGGCATGCTGAACCTATAATTAGTTCTGGATGTGAAAATATTTAGGGCTGTTATACCCTTATTCCATCAGTAATGTGCTAAAATGTTGGTGCTTTTACTTTTTGTGTAAAATTAATTCAGTGAATTTATGTCAGTGATACTGGCTTGTAATTCATTGCCTCCTGTCTTTTGTTGTTTGTATACCGGGACCACATTTACAGTTATCCAGCTGTCTAGTGGTTTTCCTGTTTCTGATGACATATTGTAAGTCTGTGCTATAAATTCAAAATTCTTCCACTCCTTTCAGTATCTGTCAATTTTGTAGGGCCAAATTGATAATGGTTTTTGTATATCTTGAGAATGTCTTTTCAGCTTGCTTTCAGACATGCAAAGCTGGTGGATATCTTTTAAAGGAAGGTTTGCATTATTTGGCAGTGTGTGCGCCAGTCTGTCAGTTTAGAATGCCTCTTTTAACTGACTTCAAACACTTGTGCATCTAACCCTAAGGAAGATTAGGCCAGTTTTAGGCAGTGTAGGTAAAAATTTGCCAATTTATTACTTGTCTCCCTTTTCTCTCAAGTTTTGTATATCTCCATTTTTTTTTTTAATTTCTCCTCTTTTTTTTTTTTTAGTTCAGTGATAAGATAAAGATCATGTACTGTATGTTATGGGCCCATACATATTGAGTGGGGTGGGTCAACTGAAGGTGGTAATGAGTATTTAATTTACATTTAGCTTATGGTAATTCTTGTTTGTGTGTGTGACCCCATTTGATAGTTTTTTAATAAGACTTAAGAAAAAACCGTTGTGGTTACATGCACTCCAAAGTTAGGGTAAGTAGATTAATTAAGTTTATATACATTTTCAAATTTTGTATTCTTAAGACATCATGAATTATAATTTGAATAAATTTGAGGCCATTATGAAGTTACATTGCCTCATGATCATTATGAAGGAATTTGGAATATATCTACTGCACAAATACATAATTTCCATTGAGGTGTTTTCACTAAACAAAGAAGTTAACTCCACAGATTGTAGCAGGAGACATAATCAAAATGGAGAACAAATGCGAAAAGGAGAAAAGGGTGGAGAGGATGCCAGTTGATGAAATGACTTCAAAGGATTATTACTTCGATTCGTATGCTCATTTTGGCATCCATGAGGTAAGAATAGTAGGTTGTAGCACACAAGCGCAGAATATAAGGCCTTTTTAATTAATATTTTTGCTGATAAATTAGACACATGTGCAACTCTTGGGTATCTTTATTGAGGAAACGTTTCGCCACACAGTGGCTTCATCAGTCCAAACGTAGGAGAAACTTGAAGAACAGGAGGAGAATGAGGTAATCAGTGCCTCAACCTTAAGTCGATGTGTTTAGTCCATCAATCTTGAATAGAATTCCATTCTATTCAAGATTGATGGACTGAACACATCGACTCAAGGTTGAGGGACTGATTACCTCATTCTCCTCCTGTTCTTCAAGTTTCTCCTACGTTTGGACTGATGAAGCCACTGTGTGGCGAAACGTTTCCTCAATAAAGATACCCAAGAGTTGCACATGTGTCTAATTTATCAACATGTCGGTTCTCTGAACCATTCATCTACAAATATTTTTGCTGTCCAGGATAAAAAAAAATTATCCTCTTTCTGTCAAACAGCTCTTAATAATACAATCTACATACTGTACTCCTACATCTGCTTCAGTACCACCACCACCTACTGTGGATCTATAACATTTGGGTTTCCTATTAAAGAATTATTTTGGTGAGAGAGGTGCTACAAATGGGACCATATCAGTTTGTGGTACTGTTGTGTATGTTTATGTACACTTGCTTAGCCCATAGTGTATATAGTGTCAGGGTGTTTCAGGCAAGACTAGATGACGAGTGTAGTACAGTCGACCACCATCTATACAACAAACCCTCGATGTAAAGGTCCTTGATATAACAATTAAAAATAGTCGTCTACTAGATAAATTGTATGCCTAGTGCCTTTATTGTGAATGTTTTTCTGTAATATAGTATAGTGTATAGTATTATGTTAGGTATACAGTAAAATACTTAAGTGTTTATTAAGTATTTTTAAACATTCTTATTGAAAGTCATGTTTATTCATTAAATTTTGTCACATTAAATAATTAAGATTAGTGCAGTGTTAGTAAGTAATAAATGCTCATTTAGTATTTTTATATGTGAATTCTTGCTTATTTAGATTACTAATGAGTTAATGGCTTTTTGAGGCTTTGAATAATATAAAATGATTAAGAGTGATTGTGGGATACTATATAATGCTATACTTTCTTGCTAAATAAGTATTAAGTTACTAGACATAATGTTAGTATTCATTATGAAATTTATTGATTTATATACAGCTGCTATGTTATCTTTATCATTTAGATATGATTTTTCCTGTTCTTTACACTTGGTTTTAACTGTGTATATTTCTCTCTGTATTTGCAACATTTCTCTTATACAGGAAATGCTGAAAGATGAAGTGCGTACCCTGACTTACCGCAACGCAATGTATCATAACAGACACCTTTTTAAAGGAAAGGTGAGATATATTCCACTTACACTACTTGATAATTTATAACTGCAGTTAAGGAAGATTTTAATTAAGATTACAAGAATTTTTTGTTGCACAAGATGTGATTACCCCCAGTCCCTGAAAGGAAAAAATATTGTGCATAAATCATCTTGTCATATATGGCCTCTGTAATTAGGATAGCAGTATTGTAAGTGTGATAATGTACACTGGTTTTTTCAACAGATGTTCCTTAAATTAATGTGTTTAATGTAAAGTTGCATATTTTTGTGACTGAAAATGCAATAAGTACAGATGCTCCTCGACTTATGATGGGGTTACATTCTGATGAACCTATTGTACATTGAAAATATAAGTCAGATAATTATGATATGATGATATAAGTTGAATATATGATAAGTAAATAACTGTCATTGAATAAGTAAATAAATAATTATTGCATCTAAATACCAGTATTGAAAAGTAAGTAAATGATTACAGGTTTATCCTGTCAATAAATGTACAGTAATGTACAGCATTGCTGTTGCAACATTGTGAAGTTGATCCACTGTAGAGCAAGGAGCATCCATATACTGTGCATATATGTTGCTTTGCAATAATTATGTTTAAGACTAATTACTGTACTACAATATTTGGTGTTTGGTTTTGCAGACTGTACTGGATGTAGGGTGTGGTACTGGTATCCTATCCATGTTTGCTGCCAAAGCTGGTGCAGCCAGAGTGATAGGAATTGAAATGTCAAACATTGTAGAACATGCCAAAAAAATTGTAGCTGCTAACAATTTAGATAAAGGTAAGCGACAGCCTCAAGTCACATATTTTGCATGAGCAAGTGACAGTGCTGTCAGTATGCTCATGAGTGTGAGTTGTGAAATAGTTTTGATAAGCCTCACATTCGCTTCAATGATTGTTACTTTGTGTTTCTCAATCAACAGTTAATTCTGAGTAGAACGATTATATTTTAATATTAGTCCTCGGCAGGTACTATGTACCTGGGTTTAACAGATTAATGCAATTTTGTAAACACATCTCTAGGGTTAATGACTAGACTGCAGTCATCAGCAGGTACCATTAGTCCATAAATGTGAAAGTAAGATGATTACATAAGTACTGGTAAGGGAGGTTTTGTTTGCAAAGGGGAAACAGGTTAGCCAGACTTGAGTCCTAGATGTGGGGAGCACAGTGTCTAGATTCTAAAGGAAGGTTTTGAGGGATATCTGAGCTATCTTGTCTGCCTGCCTCTGGCAAGACAGTGATAGTTTGTGCATTTAACCCTTAAGCTGCCCTCAGTTGAGCCAGAGATTTTGAAAAAAAAAAAAAAATATCTTGCTGAAACACTTTCCTTTATTATTTTAAAAGTGTAATGAGAGGGGATGAGTAAAATTGTAGTACTCTTAGAATTCACAATTTTTTTTTTTTTTTTAACTTTACTGTCTCCAACCATGGCAAGGGGTGATCCAAAGAGGAAAATGCATGTACAACCATTCATTCAGTCATTGTTTTTTCAGAAGTGTATTGACCTAAGCAGATTACTCTTGGACTGTAAAATCCCCTCTTCCCCTCCAAAGTGCAGGCACTACCTTGTGGATTTTGCCCATTATTTCAAGTGCTATATAAAGGGGTTTACTCTGTGGGAGGGGGTTTATATCTAGGTTAAAAATTTATCAAGAACCAGTTTTTTTTTTTTTTTTTTTTTTTTTTTTTTTTTTTTTTAAGATTGTAACTGCCATTGTCCAAGTGAGACAAAAGGTGGTCATTAAGTTGTCCTTGTATACATCATTAGTAAGGCCTCACCTAGATTATGCAGCTCAGTTCTGGTCTCCATATTACAGAATGGACATAAATTCGTTAGAAAACATTCAGCGTAGGATGACTAAATTAATACATAGCATTAGAAATCTTCCTTATGAAGAAAGATTGAAGATTCTTAAGTTACATTCACTTGTTAGACGAAGAATGAGGGGAGACCTGATAGAAGTGTATAAGTGGAAGATAGGTATTAATAAAGGGGATATTAATAAGGTCTTGAGGATGTCTCTCCAAGAGAGAACCCGCAGTAATGGATTTAAATTAGATAAATTTAGATTTAGAAAGGACATAGGAAAGTATTGGTTTGGAAATAGGGTAGTTGATGAGTGGAACAGTCTACCTAGTTGGGTTATTGAGGCTGGGACTTTGGGTAGTTTCAAATTTAAGTTGGATAAGTACATGAGTGGGAGGGGTTGGATTTGAGTGGGACTTTCACATCAGAGCTTATTTCTTGGGTGGCATTGAAAATTGGGTTGGGCAAATGTTTTGTTAGTGGGATGAATTGTAAAGGACCTGCCTAGTATGGGCCAACAGGCCTGCAGTGTTCCTCCTTTCTTATGTTCTTATGTTAAGTGATTTGGAGGGGGGGGGGGAATTGCTGTGCAGTTTGCTCTATGTGATGAATGGTTTTGAAAACCGACAAGTTGAAGAATTGAGACACTTATGCAACACATGGGAATCTTTATTGAAGAAACGTTTTGCCACACAGTGGCTTCATCAGTCCAATACAAAGTATAAATGGGTTAGGAGAGTAGAAGTATGAGGTAATCAGTCCCTCAACCTGGAATCGATGTGTTCAGTCCATCACTCTTGTAGGAAGTGCAGCATAGGGCCAGAGAGGTGGCTTATATACTGCGGTGAGATGAGTTGAAGCAGGAGGAGGCGGGATCACAGTGGGACCTGCCACTAGTGTAAGTAGGTCGTCGTCCAAAGGTTGGGCAAGCGTTGAAGTCTTTGTACCAAGACCCCATGATGTTGCAGTGTCTGACAGATCTGATGAATGGTTTTGAAAACCGACAAGTTGAAGGATTGAGACACTTATGCAACACATGGGAATCTTTATTGAAGAAACGCTTTGCCACACAGTGGCTTCATCAGTCCAATGGACTGAACACATCGATTCCAGGTTGAGGGACTGATTACCTCAAACTTCTACTCTCCTAACCCATTTATACTTTGTATTGGACTGATGAAGCCACTGTGTGGCAAAACGTTTCTTCAATAAAGATTCCCATGTGTTGCATAAATGTCTCAATTCTTCAGTTTGCTCTATATTTGCAGGACTTGTGTTCATGGAGGTTCTGAGCTTCTGTAAACCATGAATACCAATAAATAATATCTGTAATAAACTTTGCTTCACGTTTCAGCTTTTGTATGCGAGATTGCAAAATAATTAGTGTTTACTCCAATCATTTCAGTTGTTGAGATCATTCATGGGAAGGTTGAAGAGGTGACACTGCCTGTGGACAAGGTTGACATTATTATAAGTGAGTGGATGGGTTACTGCCTCTTCTATGAATCAATGTTGGAAACGGTGCTGTATGCCAGGGACAAGTGGATGGCTTCAGATGGCATGCTCTTCCCTGACCGTGCTACGTTGTTTGTTGCGGGTATTGAGGTGAGCCGCGTAACTTCCATTAAAAATACACTGTATTGTACAGAATATGCTTTTTTTTTTGTATAGTGTGTATATCTGGCACAGTAATACCCATCATCATTTAGTATGCTTGTAAATACAATACAGTCATATATATTTTCTATTAAATATTTTTAGCACAATGGTCACACTTCATGTTTTGTATATATTTGCTATGAAAGCAGTGTGGCCCAGAATCCTTCTGGAATAGAATTAAAATATAGAATGTCAGAAGACTATGGGAAATGCAAGAAAAGGAGTTAGTAAAGTATCAAAAACATATACTGTACAATGTTGAAAAAAAACGAGTAACAAAATCATAATTTCTTAATCTACGTTTTTTTTTCCCCATTATGTTCCTAATATGAACTTTCCACACATGAATAAATGAAAATGTTTATGGATTTGTTAGTATGTCTGCAAGTATCATAACTGCTCATGAGTATTTGTAGATCATTAATTGGTTCCAGGGTGCCAGTGTCATAAGTGTGGAACATCGTAAGTTAAGGACCTATTCTATATGTGTAAATAAGTGACATGACAAAAGGCATTTTGCTTGTATGTGTTTTAACCCCTAAATAATTATAATTTATAATTATTTGCTGGGAAGTGGAGTAGAATTCTTCATCCGTAAGCCATGCATGTCGTAAGAGGTAACTAACACGTCGGGAGCAAGGGTCTAGTAACCCCCTTTTCCTGTATACGTTACTTAATTAAAAAAGAGAAACTTTTGTTTTTCTTTTTGGGCAACCCTACTTCAGTGGGATACGACCAGTTTGTTGAAAGAAAGAATTTCTAGAGTTTTGCAGTGCAGAACTTACTGAAAATTGGTTGAGAGCTATCTACTTCTTGCCTTGTTTAGTGCTCAGAAGCATAGTTAAAGCATATACAACACACAAGTTTGTTGATGGTAGATTTCCAAATACATTCTATTTATTAGGTGTCATAATGTCACAGTTATTAGGTCTGAAGTTTCCATAGATACAATGATTTTATTGCAACTATTACATGAATATTCAGTTTTAAATTTGATGTAAAAGTTTATACAGTATGTTGGTATTTTTGTGCAGGATCGTCAATACAAGGATGACAAGATCAACTGGTGGGATAGTGTTTATGGCTTTGATATGTCTTGCATCAGGGAGGTGGCCATGACAGAACCTCTAGTTGATGTGGTAGAAGCAAAACAGGTACAGTTGTCTTCAAGTGCTTTTGTTGAGTGACCTAATAATTTTTTTTTTAACACTCGGCTCTCTTCAAGATGAAGTAACCTGACAAAGAAGAAAATGCCTTCAGTGTCAGTATTCAGTCACTATCTTGCCAGAAGGACACTATCATCATGGTTCAGATGACCCTCCAGACAACTCACTTTTCCAGAATTTAAGTTTGGCTAACTGATTTTCCTGAATCATTTCATAAATGTTACCTTGCTCACACTTCAACATTTTATATCATTAAAATCACTTGCCTCCACTCCTGTCTAACATGCTGACACAAGCCTATTGGATATTCAAGCCCCTAGCATTCCAAATTTTTACCCCATCCCTCTAACCTTTCCTAGGATGACTGTTACTCCTTCCAATAATGCATATAAATGTGAGGACATTTGCTGTTTTAAGGGACATCTGAACTGTCGTATCTGTACGCCTCTGGTAAGACAGTGATAGTGTGAATGATGGTGAAAGTGTTTCTTTTTCAGATCACCCTGCCTTGGTGAGAGATGGCCAGCATGTTAAAAAAAAAAAAAGATATCCTTTGGGTGATGTAGAGTTAAGCAGGTATACAATTATTTTATTTCATTTTGATATATATTTACTGATTTTGACGTACAGAGGCACCTAGAGTTTCAGCTGTAATCTGTTCCAGAAACTCGGCTGAAACTCGGATTGTTTGAAAGTCAAAGCAATATTTCCCACAAGAAATAATGTAACTCCAATTAATCTGTTCTAGACACCCAAAAATATTTAAAAAAAAAGTTTTTTAAAGAATAACTACAGCTTTACAAACAAAACAATTCTAAATACATATGTATAGTACTTGAATGACTAATGAAATAGATAAATAAACATTTAAAACCACATATACATACCTTTATTGAAGATTCTTGTTGGCATATGAAGACTCGGAGGAGAGAGGGAGGACTTAGTATTGTTTGGAAGGGGAATCCCCCTCCATAAGGACCTCAGGTATCAAGTCCCTATCTGGGGTTACTTCCCTTCTTTGTTTTTAATGGCACTAGGACCAACTTCAGTCACTGGACCCCTGTCGCACAAAAAAACTGTCCAGAGAGGTCTGTTTCTGGCGTCTCTAGCATTTGTCTGAAATGGGACATGCTTTTGTCACTGAACATGTTGCAGGTATGGCTTTTTTCAGCTTGCTCAAGGTGATACTTCTCGCCAAAAGCTTGCACCCTACTCCACATTGCACAAATCTCCTTAATTTCTGAAGAAGGCACCTCCTTCCCTCCTCCCTCCTCCTCTGAAGCAAGTTCCTCAGCTGTGGTCTGTTGCTGTTCCAGATGAAGGTCTTGCAGCTCTTCAGTGGTTAGCCTTCCCTGTGGTCCTCCAACTCTTCCACATCCTGGCCACTCACCTCCAACCCCATGGACATCCCCAAAGACACAATAGATTCCACAACAGGCGTAGGGTCAACAGGGTCAGCCTCAAACCCTTCAAAATTCTTCTCTTAGATGCAATCTGGCCACAATTTTCTCCAAGCAGAGTTCAAAGTCCTGGAAGCCACTCCCTGCCAAGCCTTACTTATAAGGCTTATGCAGTTATAGATATTGAAGTGATTCCTCCAGAACACACTTAGGGTCAGTTCAGTGCCCGAGGTCACTTCAAAGCCCCTTCAAAACACTGCTTTTGTGTAGAGTTTTTTGAAGTTTGAAATGACCTTCTGGTCCATGGGCTGGATAAGAGGAGTGGTGTTAGGAGGCAAGAACTTCACTGTTATAAAACTGAAGTCCATAGACAATTGATCTACCAAGTTTGGAGGATGAGCAGGAGCATTGTCCAGTACCAGGAGGCACTTTAGTGGCAATTTATTTTTCTGGAGGTATTTCTTCACACTCGGGCCAAACACTTCATGGGCACAGTCAGTGAAAATTTGCCTTGTGACCCATGCCTTATTGTTAGCCCTCCACATCACACACAATCTACTGTTGACAACATTGTTTTTCTTGAACACTGGGATTTTCAGTGATACACCAGTCAAGGCTTCACTTTCAAATCTCCACTAGTGTTAGCACAGAACAAAAGTTAGCCTATCCTTCGTAGGCATGTTTCCTGGCAGTGCCTTTTCTTCCTACATGATATAGGTCCTCTTTGGCATTTTCTTCCAAAAGAGGCCTGTTTTGTCACAAATCCTCCAGCCTTTATATACTCCTTGAATTCATGCACGAATTTTTCAGCCGCACGTTTGTCTGAACTTGCAGCTTCGCCATGCCTTACAACACTGTGCATGCCACTACACTTCTTGAAGTTATAGAACCAGCCTCAGCTGGCCTTAAATTCACTAAAAGCAGCACTCATTCCAGGCATTTTATTTGCAAGATCTGTGTGTAACTGCCTCACCTTTTCACAAATGATCATCTCTGAAACGCTATCCCCCACTAATTGTTTATCATTGATCCACACCAACAACTTCTCAACATCTTTGCTTGTCTGATCTACTTTTTGTTAGCACATCTACCCCTTGCACAACATCAGCTTCCTTGATTTCTTTTTTCTTTGCCAGAATGGCAAAGATTTGTTTTTGCCATACATCCTGGCAAGCTGGAGCACATGCATGCCACTTTCGTATTTTTCGACAATTTCTTTCTTCAATTCTATCGTGTTTCTCACTTTCTTTACCAAAGGGGTGGCACTAGGAAGTTTTTTTGGGCCTATAGTTAATTTTGTAGCAGTCGCACTCAATCAACAAGCACAAAAAACAATAGATTTTTGTGAAATGATTGGATGAAAGCGCAGGGTAATGTTAACTCGAGCAGAAACAAAGCCAGACTGACACGCGGACAGGTGTGGTACGGCGGCTGAAACTCGAGGTACTGTTCAAAAGTCAGCAAAATTTAGCCGGAAAAAGGGACCAAAACTCGAAACAGCTGAAACTTGGGGCAGCCGAAACTCTAGGTTCCACTGTACAGCCTCTCCTCAATTAAGAACAGAGTTCCATTCCTAAGACCAAGTCTGTAAATGAATTCATTGCAAAGCAAGGAGCACACTGTAATGGTAGTGGGTTTGTGTCAACCATCTTTCATTTTATTTTAATGCCACCTTTGCACCATTTGTAACATTTTTTGGTATATTTTTAAGTGTATACAATAATGTACTATATATTGTAATAAACAGAATAGAGGAAATCAGCTCAGATATATACAGGTCTCCCTCAACATTCGCGTTTTCAACTTTCACGGGCTTCACACATTCGCGAATTCCCATCCGCCAAATTCCCAGCTGCCAAATCATATTTAAGTTTACCGCCACGAGTCCTTACTACCCTCCCTCCGACCCCTGCAACTGGCAGCCAGCCCTCCCACCACTGTGTGGTGAGTGTTTTGTTTATTATTTGCTATTAAACTACAGTATAAATAATGTAAACCCATCCATGACTGCATATTAGAATGGCTATTCAGACAGGTATTGGAAGGTGACATCATGTGTTTACTCTTGAACACAGCAAAGAATCAAACATTTCTGCTACTGCTAATAATAATAATAATAATATTAATATAATAATAATAAATACGATAGAATTGAAGAAGGAAATTGTACAAAAATACAAGGGTTGAAGCAGTGGTGGAGGAAGTGGTTGACGCATCGTCAGTGTGGCTTTGTTTATGCTGGAGTGAGTATTAGTCTCCGTGCTCTTCCAAACATTTCAAAATAATTCATTGTATTTGGTGCTTGTAGATTGAGTGGGACTGGAGTGGTTGAGGCAGTGATATTTACTAACATATATGTTATAAATAATAATAGTACATTATGAATAACTATTATTATTATTATTAATGTTATTAATATTAACATGTACTATTATTATTTATAACATATATGTTAGTAAATACCACTGCCTCACCCACTGCCTCACCCACTGCCTCTATCACTGCCTCTACCACTGCCTACCACTCCAGTCACACTCAATCTACAAGCACCAAATACAATGAATTATTGTGAAATGTTTGGAAGAGCACGGAGACTAATACTCACTCCAGCATAAACAAAGCCACACTGACGATGCGTCAACCACGTCCTTCACCACTGCTTCAACCCTCGTATTTTTGTACAATTTCCTTCTTCAGTTCTATTGTATTTATTATTATTATTATTATTATTATTATTATTATTATTATTACATGTATATTATTATTATTATTATTTTTTTTTTTTTCAACAAGTCGGCCGTCTCCCACCGAGGCAGGGTGACCCAAAAAAGAAAGAAAATCCCCAAAAAGAAAATACTTTCATCATCATTCAACACTTTCACCACACTCGCACATTATCATTGTTTTTGCAGAGGTGCTCAGAATACAACAGTCTAGAAGCATACACATATAAAGATACACAACATATCCCTCCAAACTGCCAATATCCCAAACCCCTCCTTTAAAGTGCAGGCATTGTACTTCCCATTTCCAGGACTCAAGTCCGACTATATGGAAATAACCGGTTTCCCTGAATCCCTTCACTAAATATTACCCTGCTCACACTCCAACAGATCGTCAGGTCCCAAGTATCATTCGTCTCCATTCACTCCTATCTAACACGCTCACGCATGCTTGCTGGAAGTCCAAGCCCCTCGCCCACAAAACCTCCTTTACCCCCTCTTTCCAACCCTTTCGAGGACGACCCCTACCCCTCCTTTCTTCCCCTATAGATTTATATGCTTTCCATGTCATTCTACTTTGATCCATTCTCTCTAAATGACTAAACCACCTCAACAACCCCTCTTCTGCCCTCTGACTAATACTTTTATTAACTCCACACCTTCTCCTAATTTCCACACTCCGAATTTTCTGCATAATATTTACACCACGCATTGCCCTTAGACAGGACATCTCCACTGCCTCCAACCATCTCCTCGCTGCTGCATTTACCACCCAAGCTTCACATCCATATAAGACTGTTGGTACTACTATACTTTCATACATTCCCTTCTTTGCCTCCATAGATAACGTTTTTTTGACTCCACATATACCTCAACGCACCACTCACCTTTTTTCCCTCATCAATTCTATGATTAACCTCATCCTTCATAAATCCATCCGCCGACACGTCAACTCCCAAGTATCTGAAAACATTCACTTCTTCCATACTACTCCTCCCCAATTTGATATCCAATTTTTTTTTTTTTTTTTATTTTTTTTTATTATCACACTGGCCGATTCCTACCAAGGCAGGGTGGCCCGAAAAAGAAAAACTTTCACCATCATTCACTCCATCACTGTCTTGCCAGAAGGGTGCTTTACACTACAGTTTTTAAACTGCAACATTAACACCCCTCCTTCAGAGTGCAGGCACTGTACTTCCCATCTCCAGGACTCAAGTCCGGCCTAAATCATTTGATACCCTCATCACCTTACTCTTTTCTATGTTCACTTTCAACTTTCTACCTTTACACACATTCTCAAACTCATCCACTAACCTTTGCAATTTTTCTTTAGAATCTCCCATAAGCACAGTATCATCAGCAAAAAGTAACTGTGTCAATTCCCATTTTGAATTTGATTCCCCATAATTTAATCCCACCCCTCTCCCGAACACCCTAGCATTTACTTCTTTTACAACCCCATCCATAAATATATTAAACAACCATGGTGACATTACACATCCCTGTCTAAGACCTACTTTTACCGGGAAGTAATCTCCCTCTCTTCTACAAACCCTAACCTGAGCCTCACTATCCTCGTAAAAGCTCTTTACAGCATTTAGTAACTTACCACCTATTCCATATACTTGCAAAATCTGCCACATTGCTCCTCTATCCACTCTATCATATGCCTTCTCTAAATCCATAAATGCAATAAAAACTTCCCTACCTTTATCTAAATACTGTTCACATATATGCTTAAATGTAAACACTTGATCTACACATCCCCTACCCACTCTGAAGCCTCCCTGCTCATCCGCAATCCTACATTCTGTCTTACCTCTAATTCTTTCAATTATAACCCTACCGTATACTTTTCCTGGTATACTCAGTAAACTTATTCCTCTATAATTTTTACAATCTCTTTTGTCCCCTTTCCCTTTATATAAAGGGACTATACATGCTCTCTGCCAATCCCCAGGTACCTTCCCCTCTTTCATACATTTATTAAACAAAAGTACCAACCATTCCAACACTATATCCCCCCCTGCTTTTAACATTTCTGTCATGATCCCATCTGTTCCAGCTGCTTTACCCCCTTTCATTCTACGTAATGCCTCACGTACCTCCCCCCACACTTGCATTCTGCTCTTCTTCACTCCTAAAAGATGGTATACCTCCCTGGCCAGTGCATGAAATTACCGCCTCCCTTTCTTCCTCAACATTTAAAAGTTCCTCAAAATATTCTCGCCATCTACCTAATACCTCCCTCTCCCCATCTACTAACTCCCCTACTCTGTTTTTAACTGACAAATCCATACTTTCCCTAGGCTTTCTTAACTTGTTTAACTCCAAAATTTTCTCTTATTTTCATTAAAATTTCTTGACAGTGCCTCTCCCACTCTATCATCTGCTCTCCTTTTGCACTCTCTCACCACTCTCTTCACCTTTCTTTTACTCTCCATATACTCTGCTCTTCTTATAACACTTCTGCTTTGTAAAAACCTCTCATAAGCTACCTTTTTCTCTTTTATCACACCCTTTACTTCATCATTCCACCAATCACTCCTCTTCCCTCCTGCCCCCACCCTCCTATAACCACAAACTTCTGCCCCACATTCTATACTGCATTTTTAAAACTATTCCAACCCTCTTCAACCCCCCCACTACTCATCTTTGCACTAGCCCACCTTTCTGCCAATAGTCGCTTATATCTCGCCTGAACTTCTTCCTCCCTTAGTTTATACACTTTCACCTCCCTCTTACTTGTTGTTGCCACCTTCCTCTTTTCCCATCTACCTCTTACTCTAACTGTAGCTACAACTAAATAATGATCTGATATATCAGTTGCCCCTCTATAAACATGTACATCCTGGAGCCTACCCATCAACCTTTTATCCACCAATACATAATCTAACAAACTACTTTCATTACGTGCTACATGATACCTTGTATATTTATTTATCCTCTTTTTCATAAAATATGTATTACTTATTACCAAATTTCTTTCTACACATAGCTCAATTAAAGGCTCCCCATTTACATTTACCCCTGGCACCCCAAATTTACCTACTACTCCCTCCATAACATTTTTACCCACTTTAGCATTGAAATCCCCAACCACCATTACTCTCACACTTGATTCAAAACTCCCCACGTTATTACATGTATATTATTATTATTATTATTATTATTATTATATTATTATTATTATTATTAGCAGTAGCACAAATGTTTGATTCTTTGCTGTGTTCAAGAGTAAACACATGATGTCACCTTCCAATACCTGTCCGAATAGCCATTCCATTATGCATAAATGATTTGACATTATTTATACTGTAGTTTAATAGCAAATAATGAACAAACAAAACACTCATTACACAGTGGTGGGAGGGCTGGCTGCCAGTTGTGGGGGGGTCAGAGGGAGGGTAGTAGGGACTCGCAGTGGTGGAGGCAGTGGTATTTAATAACATACATGTTATTAAGGCATAACGTATGTATTTAGTACAATTTACGACGTTTTCATGTATTTTATGATTGTTCATGGTTCGACAAGTTAAGGAAGCAGTATTGTATTATATTTCCCTACAATATATTGGGGCACCAAACATTAGCGATTTTTCAACATTCGCGAGGTTCTTGATCCCCTAACCCTTGTGAATGTTGAGGGAGACCTGTATTACAGTATTTAGGTATGTATACTGGTCAGAGCCCGTTGTAAGTCAGTCATCAGTAAACGAGTAAGTGAGGAGAGGTATGCAGAATTAAAAATTGTGTTTTGAGAGCATATTCTGAATTTGTTACTGTACCATACTTTACATGATGGTGAAAGTTTTTCTTTTTCGGGCCACCCTACCTTGGTGGGAAACGGCCGATGTATTAATAATAAAATAAAATTAAAAAGCGAATCACTTCTGAATATCAATTCAGGATATTTTTTTTTACAATATAAAAGGTGAGAGTTATATAATTAAGGCCTTTTTATAAAACAGTTGACTATTGCATGCATTGGTTTGAAAAAGAGAGATACTCTGCTGTGATATATTGATGTAAATTACATGCATTTCCATTAATACAGGTGGTGACTAATTCTTGTCTTGTGAAAGAAGTTGACCTATATACTGTGAAGAAAGAAGATCTGGCCTTCAGTACCCCATTCCACCTTCAGGTAGAGTTAAGTAGTTCTAACAAGGGCATTCATCAATTGTATTTCAAGAGAAATGTTTGAGCATAAGTATTTTATCAGAAGGTTCAGTGTAATTCAGCATTTTCTTGGGCTTGTTGTGTAACATTGTGATCTATTTTACTTATTTTTAGAATTAGGATGTCTGGAGAATGGAAGTCACAGAAAAACCATACCACAGGCAGGGATAGAACCTGCAATCAGAGTCTCAAAAACTCCAGACCGTCGCGTTAGCCACTGGGCCAGCTAGCCACAATAAGATTCATCCAACTAGGTACATTTCTATGCCATAGGAAGGTTAGCATAGGCACCATTGTGACCACAAATGCAAGTTTTTACAGATGAATCTCCAGCTAGCATGGCCATGATGAACTCTACCTCAAGTCCCCTCAAAGCCATCAACGTGACTTGAGCTAGAGTTCGTCACAGCCACGCTAGGTGGAGATTAGTCTGTAAAAACTTGCATTTGTGGTCACAATGGTGCCTATGCTAACCTTCCTATGGCATAGAAATGTACCTAGTTGGATGAATCTTATTGTGGCTAGCTGGCCCAGTGGCTAACGCGCCGATCTGGAGTTTTGAGACTGATTGCGGGTTCTATCCCCGCCCGTGGCATGGTTTGTTTGCAATCGTGTCATTATGATTTCGTGAGTATTGGAAGCCATTTAACCCTTTCACTGTCTCTCGTATGTCTCTTGTTATCGAGACCAGTGGCACTCTTGTAGATCTGCGTCTTAATTATAGCCCCTTCAGATATGCTGAGAGTGGTAAATTTTGGCCTAGACATGAGAGAATTGGTCTGTGTGGTGGGTGTGAGCAGTATAAAAAAAAAAAATTCCTGCCCCATGCAGTACATGATGGGAACATCTAACCTCTGGCTGAATTCATATTTGGCTTAAAATAGCAGCATTGAAGTATGTGGTTTTTGTAGCTTTAGTGGATGTTTCTTGGTGTCAGTTAATGTATAAGAAGACATACTAGTCAGTTTCAAACAGGAAGTGGTCTGAAATTGGAGTCAAAGTTGCAGAAATAAGCTATTTTTGACAGATTTCCTGAGGAAGAGTTTAGGCATTTCCCCCCTTACCCCCCAGTATGTTATATGGGTTTTTATTATGTCTGCTTCAGTTATTTGCATGGCATAAGCTATGGCCAAGCAATCTTGGTCATGGTTTATTAGTCGAGTAAAGGGGGAACTTTGATTTTGTGCACATATGAGTGTTAGATTGAAAATGCAGGGCAAGTGTTACATAGGAGAGGCCTGGGCAGAGGAAAGGTTACTTTAGTGACCAGAATGCCTAGTGTTTGTTATAATGGAATATGTTGAATTGTGTAAAATTGGCTAAATTTCCAACTGGCACTTATAGGATAATTCTGATAGTTGAATAGTGTATTATTATTGTCAATAGTAAAGAATTGTAAAGGTAGTAGATTGGTAGACAGCAGCCATCCAGGGAGGTACTACCGTCCTGCCAAGTGAGTGTAAAACGAAAGCCTGTAATTGTTTTACATGATGGTAGGATTGCTGGTGTCTTTTGTCTCTCATAAATATGCAAGATTACAGGTACGTCTTGCTACTTACACTTAGGTCACACTACACATACGTGTACAAGCATATATATACACACCCCTCTGGGTTTTCTTCTATTTTCTTTCTAATTCTTGTTCTTGTTTATTTCCTCTTATCTCCATGGGGAAGTGGAACAGAATTCTTCCTCTGTAAGCCATGCGTGTATTAAGAGGCGACTAAAATGCCGGGAGCAAGGGGCTAGTAACCCCTTCTCCTGTATGTATTACTAAATTTAAAAGGAGAAACTTTAGTTTCTTCTTTTGGGCCAACCCACCTCAGTGGGATACAGCTGGTACATTGAAAGAAGTAAAGAATTGGCATAAAATAGGCCTCAAAGTTAGCAAAATTGCAGTTGCATAAAGTGCTCCCAGACCTGGTGTTATTACCTAAAGGAAGATTCTCCACCATTTTAAATTTTTTGATATTGCAATGCTGATGTTGGGGTCGCAAAATTGAAATACAGTAGGCCTCCACTTATACGGCAGGTTAGGTTCCAGGCTACCGCCGTAAAGTGGAACACCCTTTTTTTTTCCACTTATAAATGCATACAACTACTAGATAACAAGTTTACACTAACATATATTAAGTTAGCAATAGAACTAGGCATCAAAAAACAATAAAAAAGTACAATACACACATAGTGCACTCATTACTTACCTTAAAATATTTATAGTCTTAATCTAGGGTGAGACAAGTAGTATTTATTGTAAGAAATCAAGTGTGGTATGTATGGTAGTCAGCCGGGCTACCATACCAGGCCACATAATATTCTATTACATTTAAGCATCCCAGAGTGATAAAATGCATATACAGTTTACTCATTACTTACCTTAAAATATTTGTAGTCTTAATCTAGGGTGAGATGAGTAGTATTTATTGTAAAAAATCAAGTGTGGTATGTATGGTAGTCAGCCGGGCTACCATACCAGGCCAACCCATCCCATCCACCCACACATACTATTCTATGATATTTAAGCATCCCAGAGCAATAAAATGTATATACAGTTCACTCATTACTTACCTTAAAATATTTGTAGTCTTCATGTAGGGTCAGGAGTAAGTAAATGAGATAAGACGAATAAATGAGAGAGAGAAAGAATGAGTGCATGAGGGAGAACAGACGCAGAGTTATGTAAACAAACCAGGCGAAGGTAAATTTTGTAAACAACAAAGTGTACACGTCTGGTTTGTGTACAAGTTACATTGTATACAAGTTGTGTCTACATTGATACGGTAGAATAAATAAAGAACACTCCCATTCTCATGTAACATCGTTTTGAGAAGAAATGATGCTCTGAGTGAAGGCAATGGAAATAAGTCACTCTGACTTTTTTGGGTTATCCTAGGTTCTCTACACACATACTGTTATGTATGATAATCTATGTAACTGTATTTGTGTATACCTGAATAAACTTACGTCCATACATACAAAAGGAATAATTTTCTACAGTTACCCCCAGTAACACATTTTCTCTTATGTTAGATTAGAGAAAATGTTGTTCTTGCCATCACTTGTACAAGTTATCTGGCTACCACATCTCGTATTTATTTATTCTCTTGTGGGGTGTATTTATCATCTTTATATGTTATGTATCATGTTTATTATATAATTTTGAAAAAAAAAATATGGATGGATTAATGAATGTGTATATTAATGTAATATACGACATTTAATGAGACTCGGTGATTATTATCATCATTACTAATATGACGTCTCAAGATATAAGAGACTTACTGATTTTAATATGTACCTGCATCCTAGTACAGTATGTAAGTTTATTTAGGTACAGGTATACATAAGTATAATTATCACAGTATATATAAATATGAAATAACTTTTAAAAACTTGAAGTTTTGGAGTTTCCAGACAAAATGGAGACACTTAGTGCTTACGGATCTCAGAGAATGTAAACAAACCGGGTGGGGCGCGGTGACCATATTAGTCAGGTGGGGGGGGGGCCATATAGCGAGTTTTGGTCATAATTTGAAATGACCGTATTAGCGGAATGCCGTAAAGCGAAACTCCGTAAAGCGGGGCCCTACTGCACGCTAAGTGACATGTAAATTTTAATTTCTTTTTGCTGCAGAAGTGTGTTGAGCTAATTAATATGGTACATTTGGGCCACCTGCCATTTCAATAGAGCAGAACTTGCCCATGCAATTTTCTCATTTAACAACCTTTTATCCACACTTCACTAACAATTGCTAACATACTCAACAGGCGATCACAATATGTAGTTATGTCATGTACTTGATAGTGCTCTGGTGGACAGAACATACCAATAAAGTCCTCACTGGTCACAGACCGGGCCGCGGGGACGTTGACCCCCGGAACACTCCAGGTAAACTGCATTAGGTATGTCTTTACCACTTGTGAGTGTTATGCCTTTTATTAGTAGAGTATACATTTTTGGCATTACGGGATGAAAGCTCACCCAACAGTTTATTTACAGGTGCGGAGGAATGACTATGTGCACGCCCTCATCACATACTTCAATATTGAATTCTCTAAGTGTCACAAAAGGACTGGTTTCTCAACAGGTAATCACTCTTGTACAACAAATATTTAAGAGTATCATTCCAACTTTTATTCACTGACATATTAAAAAGGTACTTATACTATTTTTGAAGGGAAAAGTTATTTAGCATTGCAGTTGTTTTCCCCTTTGAGTAAAAAAAAAATTTATTGAACACTTTACATATAGTATTGTATCACCACATATGATTAATTTTAAACATTATTTATTTCAGCCCCTGAGGCACGGTATACTCACTGGAAGCAGACAGTCTTTTATTTTGATGATTATTTGACTGTGAAACACGGGGAGGAAATCTTTGGCACCTTCACGATGAAGCCCAATGAGCGTAACAATCGTGACCTTGACTTTCACATTGAAATGGAATTCCATGGTGAACTTTCAGATTGTCAGGAATCTCATAAATATAAAATGCGTTAAGTCGTTTTAGGTAAGATTTTACAATGATTCATACTCATAAATGTGGAATAATGACGATGATAAAAAGTCTAATAGTATGATTCTATATTTAAACTAGTTGTAACTACTACCCATATGAGGTTGCAGGGTGAGCTCCAGTTCCAGTCTCGCCTCTTAACTCTAGACCAACTGATGTAATAGTCATTTCATACCTAATTTTTAATCATTACATGAAATTTTCTTTATTTCTGAATTCATTTCACTTATTTAACACAGATGAAATGCTTCCTGATATTCCCATGGCTCGCTTGGTGTACAATTCCCAACCAAGCTACCTTGTTTTTTTAAGCATATCTGGTAAAGATAACTTATTCTTGTCTACGAGCCTGGCCCATGGCTGGGCTCTGAGAGTAGTGAAACTCTCGAAACTCTTCTAAGGTATACTTTGATAATATTTTGTGATCACATCTCATCTCGTTCTATACTCTTTGCTCTTTCTAGCTCATTCTGAACATAGGCTTGATGCTCTACTTTCTTTTGTTAGTTTCATGTAGAGATCATAACAAAACTTGGCTGAGGAGAAAACAGAAAATGAAATGCATATCAGGGTATACTTTTGTCATCCCATGCACATTGTGATTATTTTGTATTACCTTGCATATTTTGTATTGATAATTATTCGATGTGCATTTCTGATTAACTTTCTCTTTTCAGCTGATTCTTGCTACGTCCATCAGATGGTCGTCCACGATAATGCCGCAAGTTGACTTAGTCGTTAGGTTCTCTACAAATCTAGGAATTGCTTCCTTAAATGAGGCAACAGAGTTTTGTGTAATTTTGTGTTTGCAAGGCCTAATGGGACCTTGAAACAGCTTGTGGCACATCTTGTACGGACACTTGTGACAGTGCAGTCATGACCAGTTTTTAGAACTGTACCCCAACTGGTGGAGTGACCTTACCAAGTTGTGTGCTCTGTTAATGGATGAGCGGTAGACTCTGCCTCTCTACCAGTGGCAGTATTAAAATGAAAATGGTAGATGAGCATAATACTCTTGCCTCTCCAGTGTAAGAGGATTGAGCAAAGACTCGTGAACTCTCCCTCCCATGTAGGCTGTGGCCAGTAACACTCTGGTGTCATTATTTGTTGGTGCAAGTCCTCAGCAAAGAGTAAGAACAATTGTGGTGTAGTGATGGTGATATTAAAGAAAATGATGTAAGAAAATTAATTGGAAATCCACTGGTATGTTAGATATTGTGGACTTTTACTGGGCTAACGAAGAAAATTGCTGTGTACCATCACATGGTAAGAATATTGTTGATCGATCATTTGTCTATTTGTTCAGCTACAAGGCGAGCTGGTGGAAAAGAACTTACGAAAGAAGTCAAATTTAAAAATGTTCATTAATAATTTTATCACTTTAATCTCTTAATAGTACTGTACTTAGTTACAAATACAGTATTTGTTTAATAATGTCTTAAGCATACAGTATGTCTTTTGTATGTACCAAGAACCTACAGTAAAGATTCTAGAAAAGTTTGCCAGAAGTTCTAGTCCTTGGTTTGAGGACTTGAATTGTTGTACCAGGTTAGAGTGGGTATCTTGTATGTTGTTCGAATTATTTTTACAGATGGCAATAAAAAAAAATAAGAGATAGGGAGTTTAATTGTAGATAGAAATGTTTCCCTGCAATGCTGTATGACTTTCATTATTACACAAAAAAAATACTTTCAACATGAATTAAGTAACCAGCAGTTTTTTCAAACCTAATTAGTAAATTTGCCAAATCAATTGATTTTTAATAATTATGTATAGTAGTCTGGGCATAGAAGTTAGGATGGTGTGGGGGGTCACCATTAAAACCTCCTAACTGATTCCTATTTAATGGATTTCAGAAATGACAAAAAACTGGCCAGACAAACTTTGGAATCAAACAAAATGGAAAGTCTAGATTCCAGATTGTAGCAAAAATATATAGTCCATTGATTCTGACGTTTGTGCTGTACATGCAATATCCAGGACCTATTTATTAAGTGCAAATGGTGGTGGTGCCACCAAGAGGAAACTTGTGGTTCTCAGTGTTAAACTTGAAATAGTAGAGTATGGCAGGTTATGCAAGGAATGACCTTGAGGAATGAATAGAGGTTACACATCTCTCAACCACAAAAGGTGAGGTTACTGTACAGTACACGTACGGTAATTATTGTTTAGAAATAATTTCAATTTTTTTTTTTTTTTTTTTTTTACAAGTACCATCTGACTTACGACCAAGATTGGTCCCAACCAATTGGTCGTAAGTCAAACCTTATGCTGTTAATACTGTAAGGTTTAAGAGAAAGACTGTGTGCAACACAAACTTGTTTATTTGCATACAAAACAAATTAAGCTGTAAACAGTATGGTCATAAGCAATAGTAGTCTTATATCGAGCAGGTCATAAGTCGGATGGTACATGTAGAGTATACGAGTACTGTTTACAGTGCTGTTTTCCTAGTGTCTGGTAGTAGTATTAATCAGTGAACCAAGTCAACCGATTCAAACTTTAGGTTCATGAAAAGTAATTCGGAATCTAGGACAATAATGTACACCCTCTTCCCCTTAGTGTGTTAGATTGCTGTATAGTCCTTGTGGCTTAGCGCTTCTTTTTGATTATAATAATTAGTGTGTTAGAGGATTCACTGTAATCTATAATTAGGAGGGTTGAGGTGGCCTAGGCATTTAGTGAGGATGGAGAGGAGTCCTCCCCCCCCCCCCAAGAAGTCATTACCATGTATAAAATCTGGGGTGGAGGGAGGGAATGTTCCACCAAAGGTTAAAGGGGGGGGGGGGGTTGAGGCTTGGCTTTAGTATCTATCAAGCTTTGTGTGAGCATGTTCAGAGAATGGAGGCGAGGTCTTTAGTAGATGTGCTGCTAGTGTGAACATTAACACATGAAGGGGTTGAGGGAAACCAGTTAGCAGGATTTGGGAAGGGCAGTAACTGCACTGGAGTGGTAAGAGTATCATACTTTGGATGGTTATCTGAACTCTGATGTCAGCACACTTCTGGCAAGACTGCAGTGGCTGCCAGCAAAGGGACAGACCATGGCTCTGATGCCTAAACTACTGAAAGACATTGTAATCATGGCAGCTACAGCCGTAAGGATTATACATATATGGAGGGGGGGGGGGTATTTGGCTCAATTCAGGGAACTGGAGAAGAGATCAAATTCCCTAGATCAAGAGCCCCTCACCAGCATCAAGGAACCTCCCTCGAGAGGACAGACAGACATGCATGCTGTGCCTGTCACTTTCATTACACCTTTAGGGATAGTGCACCCACTGCCTCTAAGACCTTGGACTCCTTGGTTCGCATTTCACTACAGGCTTTTTGTTTTAATACCCTGTCTTCTGCAATCGCTTACCTTGGATGGCCTATTGCTCAGGAAATTCCTTTACTTCCATGGATCAAATTGATTACTTCCCATTTCCCAGGGGATATTACAATTATCTGTAAGAAATAATGCACTGAACTCGGGGATCCTTTTCTTCAGCTGAATACACTTAAGAACACAAGAAGGAAGTCTGCAACAGACCACCTGGCCAATGCCTTGACCTAGTGAGGTCAGACAAGTCACTTAAGGGAGGAGCACTGCACCCGACCTAGTAGCCCAAGCTAGTCGGGTCCAACTCTCACTCACTCGTGTATTTATCCAACCTATTTTTAAAACTACACGTCTTAGCATCAATGACGGTACTCTGGAGTTTGTTCCACTCATCCACAACTATTACCAAACCAGTGCTTTCCTACATCCATCCAATCTAGTCATTGCTGCGAGTCTTGTCTATGTTAGATATTTTTAGCACGCTATTTACATCCCCTTTATTAATTCCTGTTTTCCTCCTTGCTTTCAGTTGTACATATCTTGCTTTTTTATGTCCTCCCAACACCAGTTTCTTCCCTTGAGAGTCATTCCTTAATACTGAGGGACTAAGGAATTGTACTTATCTCCTTGGATCAAACTTGATTGCCTTCCATTCCCTGTGATTTATATGGGTCTAGCACATCCTCAAAAATATAATCATAACCTGCATCCCTTCCCTTTACCACCATTCAGGAGGGGTACCTTAGTGCTGGTAAAGTACTCTTGGTCCAAATAAGTAGAGCTAACCTTTCCTTCCTTGGATCAAACCTGATCTAATGAAAATAAATACCATGTTTCACCAGTCCCTGTCGTGCTAAATTATCCATATGGGTTCAGCTATTTTTCAACACATCGGCCATTTTCCACCAAGGTAGGGTGGCCTGAAAAAGAAAAATTAACCATTATTCACTCCATCACTGTCTTGCCAGAGGTGCACTTACACTAGTTATAAAAATGCAGCATCAACACCCTTCAGAGTCCAGGACTCAAGTCCGGCCTGCCGGTTTTCCTGAATCCCTTCATAAATGTTACCATGCTCACTCCAACAGCACATCAAGTCCTAATGTAATTATACATAAATTTAGCTGTGCAATAACTTGGACTACAATATCTTGTGCATGGCACACTGGAATCCACAAGAGGTGTATTTTCTTATGAGATCTCTTCGAGGGACACTGAGCTCCGTGGTGAGGAAGGCGTATCATGGTCTCCCTGTGGAAAACAAAAATAGAAAAAATAAATGAACAGGGAAAATTACACGGATAATGATACTTGTAAAATACATCTTTGTTACAGTAATAAAAATTTGGAACATTAACAATGAAGCAATTACGAAAAGTAAAAAAAAAAAAAAATCAATGTGACCAATGAACACTAAGGCAAAGATGTGTGAGCTAGTGCATATTATTATTATAATAAAAAAAGAAGCGCTAAGCCACAAGGACTATACAGCGCTGCAGGGCAGGAAGGAAGCGAGGGCATCAGGTGGCAAAAGGGAGATGGATGAGTAATAGGTTACGGGTAACAGCAGGGTAGTGGATGGTGAAAGGGTAAAGGGCAGCAAGAGACTGAACTAGAAAGGGCTGAGGGGAGTGCGAAAAGTATCATCAGAGTTTGTGGAGTAAATTAGTCGTTGCCAAGAAGTCAATGAGAGAGTCAGGATTAAAGGAGGGGTCCATCAGCAGAAAGGCAAGGTAAAGACGAGAGTAGTTGAACGAAGACGAGGAGGATAAAATTGCTGTCGTGCTCGTTGATAGAGAGGGCAGTTCTAACAGAATGTGGCTAATTGATACTGGAAACTTGACACTGCTCACAGAGAGGAACAGGGTGACTCTCCATGAGATACCCATGAGTAAGACGAAGTGTGGCCAATGCGAAGGCGGGAGCGGCGGGGTCTCCCAACCTCGGCATGATGACAAGAAGAACGGCAGTAACCTATGCTCGGTTTAAATAAGATTGAAGTTTGTTACCGTGCAGAGTTGATCAAACGTTGTTGCCAACGGGTGCGAAGGTGGGGTAGCTATTGCAGCAAATAGGCCAGAAAATGGAGCACCTCGATAGGAAATTGGTAGGTTCTTGTACTGCTGACGGCATCAGTGTTCTGGCTGCCCCCCCCCCCCCCTTCTTCATTGCCCTGTATGTCGAAATGACCAGGGACCAACAAAAAAACAATATGTTTGGTTAGAATCCGGCGTAGCCAAATGGGATACAGAGAACTAGGGATGAGATGTATCAAATTTTCGTATAGCCTGTAGAGCACTAAGGGAGTCTGAGACTACTACAAATGATGACACAGGCATATTATTATTATAATCAAAAAGAAGCGCTAAGCCACAAGGGCTATACAGGACACAGGCATAGATGCGATACGAATAAGTGCAGCAAGAATGGCATACAGTTCAGCAGTAAAAATGCTAGCTGAAGATAGTAAATGCCCCCGCACGACGCTGTCCGGAAACACTGCTGCGAATCCGACGCCGTCTGAAGACTTAGAGCCATCTGTGTACACAGCGGTGGCATGAGAACGGGAGTGGAAGTGATCAAGAAAAAGAGAGCGGGAAGCCACTGTAGGCAGTTGAGCTTTCGAGCAAGGGAGTGAGAAAAAACAGACCCGAACAGCTGGAACTTCACAGGGGGGTAGGAAAGAGAGGGGCTACATGAACATATAAAGGTGGTAACTGAAGGGAAGACGAGTGAATGTAGTCGAAGTGAAAAGGGACGGAGCCAATGGGGCGGCGAACGAATAATGTCTATGTTATACGGTGGACCATTCTATAAATGGGAAGGATTGTGTAGATCGTGAGAGCAGGGGTCCTATAGTAGCTGAAGGCAATGGGATCACGGCAATCAGACAAGGATGGAACCATTCGCTTCCGTATAGAGGCTCTCAACTGGGGAAGAGCACCAAGGCACAAATGTAATCCTTGGTGTGGAGAGTTATGCTAGATGAGAGTAGCAGGAGAGGCCGCGGAATAAATTGGTCAACATTAATCGCGTTTCGTTAAACACGAGGGCTGAATGTAGGCGAAGCAGAGTTCGACTCGATCAGCTCCCCGGAAAGATGAGCAAGGGTTTTAAGAAGTTTAGCCGGCTGTGACAAGTTGCCTCAGAGAGGTAATGTGAGGTTTTCCAGGATAACCTCGTCAAAGGAAGGCCTAGAAACCCTGACTGTATCCCGTTCGGGGAATAAGGGAGCCGTAGAGATACAAGGATGATCGGAGATAACAGAGTTCTAGTGGAAAGTAATTCTGG